ACAATGATTTACCCATTACATTTTTAGTGATACCCTCACTTAAACTTTAATGTACAAACTATATTTTGATAATGATAGTTACACTTGGGAAAATTACACACTTTTACAAGAAATGAACATTTAGAACAGTTAGGTCTTGGTAGAAGACGCACTTTATATAATAGTAGGAATCGTAGGGATTTCTAAGGTTTTTCAAAGTCAAGTCAACTTCTAGTTGACCTGACTCACCGAGTTGGCTCGCCAACTTACCGAGTCCCTATCCTTCCGTTTATCTTTAAACTCGTCTCTAATCGTCGAGTTAGGCGATGACTCGACGAGTTTCCCTTCTAAATGAACATCGACTGAATCCTCATCTGACTCGCCGAGTTGTATGAACAACTCGTCGAGTTCATCTTCAACTGATACACAGGTCCTGTCCTTGACTCGCCGAGTTGTATGAACAACTCGTCGAGTTTATCTTCATCCTTAAGAAGTTTGCCTTGGACTCGCCGAGTCAACTGGGTCCTTATGACCCTTAATTGATATGGGACAGAAACCTTGGACTCGTCTAGTTGGTCACATCCTCTCACTAAATCTTTGATTTCTACTGTACAACCCTTGATCAAAAGATAGATCTATGCTTCTACAATCGATCTAGCACGTAAAGTTACAACCTTTACGTGCTTGCATGGAACTTTGAGCTCAAAAGGTCGTAAAACAATCTCTTACAATGCATGGGGCCTTCTTTGAGTGCAAGAGCCACTCTTTTCTGCCTTGGAACCCCTCTAAGGGCCTAGATCTTAAACATCAACCCCTAACCATGCTTGCAATCATGGTTGGTGACCAAAATGGCTTAGAAAAGCCCTAAAACTCCACAAAATGGGATCTATCAAGAGAACAAACAAGGTATAGACTTTATACCTTCTGTAGACTGCAAATGATGCTCAAAATCGGATCTTTCTAGCCTCCTCTTGATCCTTCAAGCTTTTCCTTCCTTCCTTGGGTCACAAAAGCACCAAAATCACTCAAAATGCCTTAGATTGCTTCAATAACGATTAGGGTTTGCTATGGGGGTCTTCTGGGAGCAAATGAAACGAAGGATGTCAAGTTAAGGTGTTTGAATAGGGTGCAAACCCTAGGGTTAGGGTTTTTGTCCAGATAGGGCCTACTCACCGAGTCCGGGATCCGACTCGTTGAGTCCACAGCTTAAACCCCGCATCTCATCCTGCTTCTTCTCGACGAGTTAGTCCTTCAACTTGCCGAGTCCAAGGCCAAAATGCAAAAATATAAATAAAAAAATACATACCAAGAACCAGATGCTACAAATGATGCAGGTACAAATGAAATGTAGGAGTAAGAGTCTAAATCATACTTTAGGTTTTCATTAAAAAAAAAAAAAAAGAAGAAACAAGCAAAAAAGCGATACAAGAATAAGTGGCATAACTCTAGAAGATGACTAGTCAGTTACTTTTTAAAGACATATAGTCACTAAAATGATCAAATTTGATATCCAGGTATCACCCAATGACTACATTTTCAACTTCTACCACAACATGTCTACTTAATTCTCTAAGCACCTAAGAAGTTTGCGAAGTTCACCGATGAAAATCGTATACACTCATTTGAAAACCATCTCTCATATTCCATGTCGTTGCTACCCAAACATTAAGTGAACTCTCTACTAAGAACTCGAAGTATGGTATCACGTTCTTGTTTCTCAACTTAAGGAGCTCACTCAAGTGAGCAAGCAAAGAAGATGATGTTGCTTCATGAGATTTTGTAATGACAGATGCCAAATGACCCTTTTGAGACTTTGATTTTATAAATGAGTCAAACATTTTGAAAAAACTAACATAATTGGGAGTGATCGACTTTATGGAACCACTTTCTATTTTGTTGGAAGATTCATGCTCAATCTTGTTAAAGTTTACTAAGTTCACGAATTACTTGATAAGTTTGCAAATTATCCAAAAAAGTTTGTGACGACATATTTTCACGAATTCACAATATGTTTTTTTGTTTGTTTATGGAGAGCACTAACAAACATAGTTTCACGAATTCATGTATTTTTTAAGTTAATAATCATTTTAAGATAGAAGATCAAAATACGTTCCAACTTCCAAGTTTAGTAAAAATAGGGTTTTTGTCATAAAAGCCATGATTTTAGGGTTATTTTCATAGAAAACCTTATATTTTAACTTTTTTTTTTCTTTTTAGACCTATTTTTTTTTTTTAAAAAAAAAGACCAAACTTTTATATGTTACTTGTTATTTCAGACCTTGCAGGTCGCCAACAGGTTAATTAGGTATTTTTATTTTATAAAAGACTTTATATTTTGTAGTTATTTCCATTTTAGATCTAAAATGTTTTTTTTTTCAAAATAAACTCAATTTTAAAATTAGTTATAATCTTCAAGACCAAATACATAAGGTACTTCTTGACTACACCGAAAAAGAAAGTATACATGTATACACGAAAAAATGTTACCTAATCTATTATCTTTTGAGCGAATATAACCTAAAAGAAATGCAAAATTTTATTTTTGTCTAAATGATATAATTAAACTTTATCTTGGATATATATTATATCATTACACTTGATATATTATTTATAAAAAATGTTATTATTACCGCTAACAAAAAGTTTGATGTTAATTTTATATTTTTTTCGTAACATGGATAATACATGGCTAAGAAGAATCTTTTAGTATAATAGCAATTTTTTTATTTGTAGAAAAAAATACCATATACTTTAACAAATTGTATACAAAATAATTTTTTTAGTTTATCTATTATACTTATTTGGTGAGTTTGGACGTATTTCTCTCTCTCACTTTTCTATATTAATTTTTTGCCAAATTTTTTAATCAATTTTTTTAGAACAGTTAACAAACGCACTCATTATCATATTCCGAAACCAAAGCCATAGAATATTTTGTAGCATTAGCCAATTATTAAATAATATGTTATAATTATATCAAATAAATACATAAAAATATTAATCCAAAAAATTTGTATTAGTTTTGTTTAGATATATGAGATTCAAGTTTAAGACTTTGTTAAAAAAATGCTAACATCACATATGAATACATAAAACTATATTTTGGGAATGAAACAATTTGAGCATAAGTTGAAAATCCAAATAACAAGAATGATACTACACACTTAAATATCAAAATACGATGGTTGACATTATTAACAATGGTTGGAATGTAGCGAATGAATAAAACTGACAAAACTATGAAATTTTGTTGTAGAGAAAAGAAAATTGAATAGTTGGCCTACTATCTTATTTTATTAATCTATCTTATGTATACATGGTGTTTAGATCAATACATGGTGTTTGTGTATCACTGTTATTGATTCTTAAGGATAATCATAATAATTACCAAAATAAAATTTAGGATTTCATTTTAATTTGAAAGGATATAATCACGTTTTTATGCATCGAAGTTAAGCTCCATTAAATCGGTGTAGTTAAGTACCTTATACAACTAGTATTAAAGGTTGTAACCAATTTTAAAATTGAGTTTATTGTGAAATAGAAAAAACATTTTAGGTCTAAATTGGAAAAAAGTACAAAATGTAGGGTTTTTTATGAAATGAAAATACTTAATTTCCCTTTTGGTAACCTGCTAGGGTCTAAAATAACAACTAATAGGTAAAAGTTTGGTATTTTTCGGAAAAGAAAAAAGTTTTAGGTCTAAAAAGAAAAAAAAAATCAATATATAGGGTCTTTTACGGAAATAACCCCCAATTTTACACAAAATAGTCTGTTATGCCTAAAGTCGTTTTTTTGCCACAGATGCCTCAAATACCGGAAATTTGGTTCAATTTTGCCCCTAGCCAGATTTCACCTTGGATAACTGGTCATCCCTCAACTGATTAGGCGAGCTGCTGCGTCGGACATGGCGTGGCCATGTCGTTCCAACCAAAAGCAACAACTTTACCACTAAATTAGGAAGCTTCGGCTAAAATGTCTCCTCAAACATTGTATGTATTATATCTTTCCTCAAACATTGTACTTATTATATCTTTCACACCGATTTATTATTATTGTTATTATTATTATTTTATGAATTTATACATACATTTTTATATGTATTTATGTGTATTAGAAATGTATTCATATGTTTAAAAGATATATATAAAAGTATGATTTATACATATAAAATGTTATTTAAACATATAAAAGCTTTTCTTAAATCTATTTATATGTATAAAACCATATAGAAACGTATAAAATGTAATTTATACCTATAAAAATGTTTTTATACATATAAAAACATATTATTTAGATGCATAAATAACGTTGTTAATATATATAAACATAAATATATGATTTTATATGTATAAAAGCTTTATACATGTTGTGTATAATAACATTATATATATATATATATATATATATATATATATATATATATATATATAAAGAGAGAAATTAAATATCCTCCTATATTTTATTCCTACCTATCTTCCTATCATATCAAATGTTGATATGTGTCACGTTTAATAACATATTTAATGAAATTGATTTAATTTTAATTAATTTGTCATTATTTAATATGAGTAAGAGGATAGTAAGAATAAAATGTAAAACCTGCTCGTTAGCTATATTAGAATGAATAAATATAATAATCATAAAACCTGCTCGTTAGCTATTAAATAAATATATTCTTTCAGCATTTATTTCAATGATAACTTCTTAGCTTAGTGGTTTACCTCTTGCTTTTGTGCGTAGGAGACCAAAGTTCGAAACCTGGGGGCTCCACTTATTGCCCAACCTTTCGATTTTATCTTGAATAAAGCATTGCTGACGTGGCTAGCCCACCTCAGCTCCTCCGACCCAACGAAATCAGCAAATGGTTCACCGGCTATCAAAGGTAAAATCCGATTAAAAACCTTAAAATATAACCATAGTAATTATATATACTTCCGGTCAAGCAAAAACCCTAGTTGTCTTTTAGAAGCCTAATCCCCCTCCCCTCAATACGGTTTCTTATCGACTTTCAGCCTCGGCATTTTCGAAGGTATGATATCATTTTGTTCATTCATTACTTCCCCATTCCATCCTGTTTCTTATCACATATTAGGTATGATATCATTTTCGAAGGTATGATATCATTTGTTCATGCTCATTACTTCCCCATTCCATCCTGTTTCTTATCACATATTAGGTATGATATCATTTGTTCATGGTATTGATTACTTGATTGAGCTTATTTTTTGGTTTTTGATGGAATTATCTCTGGGATTTTGATGAAGTTGAACACCAAGTTCATTAATAGGGTCTCGCGTCTTTCGGTTCTTGTGATATACCGATTTATTCTTAGTCTTCACTCTTTGGAGAGACTTTGATTCCATTTCTTAAAAATCAGCTAGAGCGACATATAGGACAGAATTAGGGAACATTTATCGGGTTTTTGTTTGTGTTTTTATCTGGACGGATGATTTTGAGAGAACTAAGTGTAATTATTTTGGGGTTTTGATGAAATTGGGTATTATTTTGATTTCCGATGTGTTTCCTTTTGCAAAGTTTTGTTGGTAGTGTTGTTTAGCTTGATATGATTGAGGGGATGTCTAAGGATTTAGGTTTTGTGTTATCATATACCATGATTCGAATTTGAGTTTTGTTCAACTAAAATTGAGATTTTAACCGATTGTTATGACCCTAGTTTCTATTTGTCTCGTTTGAATTTCATGAATTGAAGCCATGTTATCTTGGGTTTCTTTTAGCAGAGCATATGAATGTGGAAATTTGTTGTAGTTTGGATAACGCTTATATATTGTATATATTATATATTTTCAGGGTAAAGGGATATTTTCTTTAGCAACATGGAGGACATACACCCACCATGGCTGCGTAGTCTTTGTCAGTTATCAGACACCCTCTTTTCATCATCACACGTAAGTAATTAAACGCCAAATTAAAACAAACCATTATTTAGGCATTTCTTCCTTTTTCCCCATTAAGTGCTCTTTGCCGAAAATAATGTTTAAAATATATGAGAAAAATGAAGAAAAGGAGTTATTTGCATTAAATAAAAAAAAACAAACAAACCCTCAAATTCTATGCATATTAACTAATATCAAATTGTTTTTAATCAGGTCCAGGAAACTACTACATATGAGGCCCATGGGTCGGCTATTGAACCTGATTTTGAGGAATATATTGAAAAGATGGGAAGTCCCATTTTTCCCAAGAAGCCACAAAAATTGTCCAATAAAGACTCTTATGAGGTATGTTATGGTAGCTCCCATATTGACTGAATGAGATTGTTAATTGTTTTGACACTTAATGGGAAAAGCCCCCTTTCTCTATTGAGACCATGCATTAATAAAAAATTAAAAAAAAAAAAAAAAAAAAAAAAAAAAAAAAAAAAAAAAAACACCCTCAAAACCTATCTATGAATGATATTATTTGGTTCCATTTTTGCACAGCATTAAAAAAAACAAAACATTATTTCCTTATCTTTCCATGAACTAATGACCTCATTGTTTTTTATCAGGCCCGGAGAACAAAAGGTCCTATATCTGAGGATGGGCCCAATTTTGATAAGGCTTTTAGGCTTTTCCATTCACAAAATGGTGTTGTCCCACTTTCTGAAGGATCATTGCAGTTTCCCCAAAAGTTGAAAGCGGATTCAATGTCTCACCAGTTTAATCCTTTAGCAGCTAAGGCAGCTACAATTAGTCTTTCAGGTTTTGGAGGGCCATTTGGTTTTGATGCATTTGGCGAAATGTTTAAGAATCAACAAAAAAAGCACAAATCTAACAAGAAAGACTTTTCTGAGGTATGTTATGGTATCTCCAATTTTGATTTAATGATACTGTCAATTGTTTTGACACTTTATGGAAAAAGTCTCATTTCTTTATTAAGACCATGCATTTAATAAAAAAAATTAAAACCCTCAAACTCAAAACCTATCTATGCCAATGTAGTAACATCGTATTATTTTCCATCAGGACTGGGGAACAAGAGGTCGTATCATTGCAACTGCTCCCAATTTTGATAATAGTCTCTCATGGTTTGACACTAGTTTTGGTGCATTTAAAGAGATTGGCTTCAACAAGCCTCAAAAATCTTCCAAGAAAGACTCTTCTGAGGTATGTATGCTATGGTTGCTCCATTTTTTCCGTGTGTACGTTTCTTTTCTCAATTTTTGAAACAATGTTCTAGAATGGAATTTACACAAAACATATCTTGTTAAATATCACTCAATCAAATTTTTATTAATGATTTGACAGAATGGAGACTTGAATATGGGTGGGAATTATCCTTCTACAAGCTCATACCTTGGTTCATATTTTGAAGATCCCTTAGCACCAACTGACTCACAATTTTCATCATCCATGTATACCCCATGGCACGTAAGTCAATCAAACAAAGCTTTTAACTTTTCCAAATTTGTCCTCATTATTATTAACTCATATAACTAATTTATAAATGATTTTCACAGTATGGAGACATATGGCATTCAAATGGTGCGCTTACAAGGTCATGTAGCAACACTATACCAATTGTGGCCAAGCCATCCAACAACAAAAACAAATCCTTGCCAGCAATTTGGGGAGCAACAACCGCATGGGCAAACAACTTTTTGCCTCCATCAATGCTCCCACGCATGATAGTGATGTCAGCAATTGGCATGGCGACTAACGTCCCATTAGGCATGTGGCGACAACACACACCCACATTCTCACCTTCTTGGTTCATAGCCACTCTTGCAACCATTCCTTTTTTCATTCCCATGTTTTGTGCCTCCGATTTCATTCCAAAACCCATCATGTTGTTTACACTTGGCGCCTCTGTCTTATTGGGTCAAATTATTGGATCTCTAGCTCAATGGTATCGCCTAGGAGTCATTCCTATTGATACTACACCTCCAACTGTGACACAAGATATGGTTGTTGCTAGGTCTAATGGGGCAGAAGCTACACCATTCCATATTGAAGTGTCGATAACTTTATGGAGATATCGCGTTGTATTTTATGTTTCTTCACAAAAAATTTCGTTGTGTGTGTCATGTAAACATACATTGCCTGAAACCCTAACACAAACCACCTCTGCAAACAACCTTACACCTCAACCTATGATTAAACAGATATTATTGGCTGGGGGAATGGCAATGGCTGCTAAAATCCCATTGGGGATGTTGCATGGTTTGAAAAAATTTCATTTTTTGGGCGAACTATGTAACTGGGTTTTGATGCAACCACAAACCACCATGGCGTTGACATTTGGTGGTTCGATTCTGGGTATGATTGTTAGATCTATGGCTGAGCAGTATCGCCTGGAACCCACTGCCGCCACACCTCCGCCTTCTCCTGAGACAGAAGCGTCTGTTGGTGGTGGTGGTTCTGATCAGGCAGAAGAGATGGCATTCCATATTAAAGTGGTGATATCTTTATGGAGCTGTCTAATCTCATTGGACTCTTCTCCATTGGAATCTTCATTCCTGGTGTCACAACAACTTGCATTGCCAAGTTCATCAGAGTGAAAGGATATGTCATTTTTTTTTGGTTGGTAGGATTTATTTGCAACAGCATTAGAATCCTTTATTTTTAATTTTTTTTTTGTTATGTTTAGGGAGGTTTTTAAGTGTGTTGTCATTTTATCAATTTCTTTTATTATCAGCTTCATGAGATACAAAAGAAACACTGTTTTACTTGCAATTTTACCATTTATTCGTTGGTTGAACATATCATGCAAAAGATTTGTTACTTCTATCATAGTGATACATTGTTAAAAGCTGGATACATGAAGCAGTCAAAAAATATGTTACGAATTATTTGATAGTTTATGTTGTATAACTCAACAATCTTAGTTATATTCAAACATTCTATTAGATTAAATTAAATATTGTGTTTAGAAGGTAGCGCAATATTTTTTCTCTGTTTATATCATAATAAAGTAGTTTTATGTTTTCTTATATCAAGAGAAGAGATGAATTCTTTCTGTAAGAACATGGTTAATAAATCTTCACTATGAAGAGTGTGGCGAAAACCTAAAGTTCAATGGCATATTAGAGTTTTGTCCTCAAATGGTGAATTATCATGTCATAACCATTGGAGGTGAATCATACAGATATCTAATTATGAATGGTGATATATTGAGAATGTATGATTGTTTATTTATTGTATAATTATCGGATAACTAATTAGTTTGTTATTAATTAATTATATGGTGAAACATTTGGGAATCTAAATGTTATTTGGGATGTCAGTGACATATCTGGCCTTACATTAAGGGGCACTGCATAATATTGGAAAAATAAATATAATTTTTAATTTAATTAATCTACAAAGATACTTTGGTAAATTAAAGAGGGTATTTAAAAAAGAAAATAGATTGATTGGTGTTACTCATTGCAAAACAGACCAAGAGGAGGGAGGAGGTGAGGAAAACAGCCATTTTTTGCACCTTGTTCTCTGAGTTTTTTTTAAGGAAAGGAAAATAATGGGAGAAAATTTGTGTTAATTGTGTTCTTGAGTTTTTTTAAGAAAGGAAAAATAAGAAAACGTGTTGTCGAGTTTCATTTAAGAAGGAAAGGAAAATCCTTTTCCCCTTAAAACTTATCCTCTGATGTAGGATGATTAAGAGGGGAAAAAGGAAAAGGAAGGAAATTCTTTTCCTTTCATTCCCCTTAATTTTAAACTTCAGAACAAAGTGTTAGGGTAAGAATTATTGTAAATTTTATTTGTTTTTAGTTAGGGTTTAATAAAATATTAACATTTTCATCAAATTCGTTTTTGTAAAGCAAAATCCCTTTATAATGGATGTTGATATCACATAAAAGCATCCATAATGAAGAATGAAGAGTTCAATTGGAAAGTTTAATAAGGTGGCAAAGATAGTTGTCATTCAAATCATGAAACCCTCCAATAGGAAAAAGAAAGTTTTCTAATACTTAAATATTTATTTAAATATAGTTCATCAAATTCTATAAAGTTCAATGGGTAAAAGTAATTAATAGATTTGTATGGAATTTAGAATTATGAAGATCAATATATTGTGGATGTCTTAAGAGCAACCGATTATATAATAACATTTTATTATTTTAAGGGATGTATGTTCATCCATCACTTCACATTTTTAAGTTCAAACAAGATCCCCAAACATCAACATAATCATACTTATATGGCAAAATGATATCACATTCGAAGGTAAAACATGGCTAGACACAAAAAAATGTTAACCCTTCCTAATAAACCGGTCTAATAAATCCATCTTATGAAATTGACCATCACTTTTTAATACTCCATAATTTAAATACATAAATCCTTAAAATTTACCAGAATATCAAATATAGTCCCGTTAATTATCAAAGGCCCAATGATATGATAAACTATCAGTTTCCAATCATATTAGTCCAAATTAGTCTCGGCTATTATATTATATATCTTTTTAGTTTGACTAACTAATTATAAATCAGTAGGTTTGGTAGGATAACTTATCTCACAACAAAGCAAAAAAAAAAAAAATGGACAAAAACATATACCTTCCCAATTTCCCATGCATGAAAGTCGATAGCGCTGGACCGTTTCCGAACCAAAATCGCAGCTAATAAAGTGAGTTCAACTCTCTTTCGCCGGAGAAGAATCACAGGACAACATGAAGTGTTCGTCTCCCTTCACAACCCCATGTAGTCATCGACAAAAGGGCGTTTGAATGTTGATCGTACCTCATGATTGCAGTACGCCCCAAAATATGGGAAACTTCCACCTCCGGCAACAAATCCACCGTGAAAACAAACTGGGATGTATCAGGTCTTGCAGTGATCGCCATCGAATCACAGCCTTATTTTCCCGAACCAAATGAAAACGCATCAGGTGAGTTGCGATGGTTTACCACCATCAAAGCCTCCTCGCTCCACTCACCTCATCCCTGATAACAATTGCCGTAGCAAACCACCGAAAAGGCCTTTCATGAGCCATTCCCAGCTTCATTGCGGCGCTTTTATCCTAGGAAGAGGTGTCATTCGGTTTTATAAAAAGAAATAGAATACTAACCCTAAATGTTTGTGAGCAATTTATTACCACCTTACCCCTACTATTTAATGGAGTTACAAAAAAAAAAAAAAAAAAAAAAAAGCCATTCTTTTTATACATTCTACATAAATTTAATCGGAAAATGAATTAGAAGTTTTCAAATTGTTTAAAAAACCTCAGTAATGTTTTGTCAGTTCAAAAAAATCCAACGGACTTAATCTTTTGTTTAAAAAGTCTAACTAAGTTATACTTTTCTGAAAATCAAATAAGAACAACAGATGACGTGGCTTATTACCGTATCAGGAAAATGACTTGTTAAACCAACGAAGTTTCCAAAACGTTTAAAAAACTTCAAAGACTGTTCAAAAAAAACCCTAAGGAACTTAAACAAAATAAAATTGAGATTTTTTTAACGGTTTGGAACTTTGTTGGACTTTTTAAACAAAAGATTAAGCTCATTGTGTTTTTTTGAACAGATAAAACATGATTGAGGTTTTTGAATTGTTTGAAAGCTTCATTTTCCCTGAATTTGATAGTCACATTTTTTTTCATATGAACACAATAGCCTCATAACATTTTATACAAGTTCGTAATATTTTCCACGACCTACAATTAGAGCTAATAAAAAAAAGTGACATAACCAGTCAACTCAACTCTAAAGTTGATAAAATCATATAACTTTGACGAAATTCGATAATCCTTCCCCTTTCCCAAACCAAAATTGTAGCTAGTAAAATGAGTTCAACAACGACTATTCATAGAGAAGCATCACAAAACAACATGAAGTGTTTGGTTCCCTTCACAAATCACAACAACACTATGTACTCTTGCATGCAATTTTGGGTTCCATTGCATTTCGTAAACCTCACATCAGAGAAGCCGATTAGGACGATATCAATCTCTTGTTGAGCTTTAGGACCCACAAACACTCATGACACCACTGAGCTTAATTATCCTAAAAAACCAGCCCATATTATTTGAATTTTATTTACTAACAATAAAATAATTAAATCTTATATATTCAAATTTTAAACAAACCCGGATATAACTCTATGTTTACAGCATATTTCCTACATTTGGGGATTAACCTTCCCATTCATATATAACTCTACGTTTACAACGATATCCATTAATTTCATTCTTCAATATTTCTTCATTCCTCTTCTTCCTGTTTCTATTGCATATCGCAGACTCGAATTCAGGTTAGCTGTTATACTTTCTTCTTCTTCTTCCTGCTATAGTTATGACAAGTTTTGTTAAGAATTAAAGAAAAAAAATATACTTGGTGTTTGATGACTGCTTCTGTCCAACCCAACGCCTTTGTATATGTCTGTGAGTGTGTTTTGATTTTCTGCAGTGTGATGCTTTTCGATTACAAGATTGATCTAAAATCTAATCCAACTTCATGAGAAGTACTGAAATTACAATTACATTTTTGTTGGTTATAGATCAAATGATGCTCTCCGCCATCACCTACATCGGACACCATTACCGCCGCTGCCATTTCCGGCTCGACCAACCCCCGGCTATTCTCGAACCACTAACCACCGAAGATCAAAATCCAACATCGTCACCACCCTTCACCGGAAACACCCACTTTAACCTCCTCTGTCTGTCGCACCACCTACCTTCTCCGAAAGCAACCACCGCTGCCTTGAACACCACCTATTTCAGCCGATAATCACCGAACATTGTCGCCCACATCTTCGTCTTCATCCTCCAGTCAAACACCACCACCCCTTACATGTCACCTCCGTCAGCACTACCACCGCCATCGCTGCTTTATAGAGCATCACCTCTACAGCAAACCTACACCACCGTGACACCCCTTACTTCCACCAGTAGCAACCGTCGCACCTAGCAACCACTCTTAACTATCGAGAACCACCACTCACCGGATTACCTCTGTGAGTGACCTCGATCCAAGGAAAAAAAAAAAGAGAACAACTTTTGTGGCTGCAACACACGAAAAGGAAATAGACACAAATAAGGACAAGTATTTTTGGGCTTAATATTTTTTGTGTTAGGCTTACTTAAATTGGACTAGGATAAATTATATTGGGTTAAGGGTTATTTGGCTATCTACAGTTGCTGGATTTCCATATAACCGTGACTGGATAGTGAAACAGTGGGGATTTTTTTTTTTTTTTTTTTTTTTTTTTTTTTTTTTATAAAATGTGTGGTTATATATATAGATTTCATTTGTTGCCTTTTTTTATTATGTTTTTTTGTAGTTTCTGTATTTATTTATTCACTAATTTTTTTTTATAGTAGATTACATGTGTCTTCACATCTACCCCTTATAGTGGATTACAGGTGTCTTCACCTCGGTTGTTTTCCTGCTTCTTTCATCGCACATACACACTTTTCTCGATGTTCCCCACCGCTTTCATTCTATCATCCACCAATCTACGGACTACCATTCATTCTTCTCTGGCTCATCACTGCCCGATCCTTCCACACCTACCAAATTCTTCTTTTACTCTGATTATCACTCCTTTGTATAGATGTGATTTCCACCGACTCTGTCGCCGATCATCAAAGCTATTGCTCCAGCACACCAGTCTATTGATCCACCGTCTTCTACACATCCTTAAAATCATTAATGGCTTCCACGTTCTTCCCACTTGAATTCTCATACTTTCGTTTTTTTCCTCCATTAAGTCGGTCGGTCTTTGCCACCGACGATTATGGCCCACCACAACGGGTTCGCCCCAATTGATTACCGGGTCTCCCTCGAGTTTTCCCTTTCTCCTTTCCACCTGGTGCCATCATCACAACCAATGTCTACGTGTTCCGTCCCAGATCCTTCTTGGGTGT